CTGCAATCAGCGAGTATTATTGAAGTTGAGCACGTTCGTTGTTATAGTGTTTGTTTTAGCGCGATTGTTGAAATTAAGTGTATCGTAAAGTTATATTCGGAAAGAATAAACCAGTTTTATTAAGTAAGGACTTGTGTCGCCAAAGTTTCGTCGGAACTAATTTACGGGAAATCAATTAACAAACGGAGATGTAACAATATGTTTGGTGAATAAAATGTAATGATATTTTGATATCTTGAGTAATACTGAAGGTTAGAGATACAGTTCATAGTAATGAGTAATATGTTAAATATATTTAGAACCCCCCCTCCAGTTTTCTTATATTTAATTTATAGCAGAAACTAAACTATGAATTTGATACAGAATGGGGCATAACTTAAGGTGTTTCTCAAAAACAATAAATTATTCTTAGGCCTTGTACAGATTTCTTCACGTACATTTTAGAAGAACAATAGTCTATAGCTAAGATTAAATTTCATGCAATTAGAAATAAAACATTTCTTTTATGTACAACACTTACTTGTTCCGCTTAAAGGGCAAGGGTCACAATATTTGTCAGCCCAGGCCTTTCCCATGTTGTCTCCACAACAGCATTCCATCTTCGAAAGACGTACAGATAGTTTGTTAAGGCAACGGCCACTTGAGAAGTCCAAATAACAATCACCTCTTCGAGTGTCTAAAAATAAGTTCAATAATAAAATGAGTAGTTCACTATCATAACTTAAAACTATAAAAAATCTTTATTTAAAATCTCTATGTATTAATAATGGTATGCTAACAAAAGTCAGGAAGAATGGGGATTTAGTCACGGGGTTCCTAGCACTATGAGTTAACTAAACTTAAGACCTCTAGACATGCATGTGTATGTTCTTTATTGGATCACATAATACTACAAGAGGAGTATTAATGAAAACTACATCATCGTTGAGAATCCACTGACTTATTATAATGAATTTTGCTTCCACTTCTTATACAGTTTCAATAACTATCTTATATTCCTGAATTCAGTTAAATACATACATACATACAGACCTTTGAAATTCCTCATACTTGCAATTAAAATATGGGTTATATTAGTATATATTCTGTTTTTATAAGAAAGAATGTAAATGGTTGGAAACTGTCACATGGGAGAGCCAATGAACATTAATTTTACTAGCCGGTTATTCAGCTATTTTGCCAATTACAAATGTGTTACATCAGGAAGGTGGGGAGGGGGGACATATGATCCTAATTTGTACACATACACATGCAAAAAAAATACTTTTTTCCTCAAATGTAAATCAAATCATGAGACTCCTTCTGAGGGTGTTCAAAAAGATAATATTCTGTCAATCAGTGAAATATTCTAATGCTTGCTTCCAGCAAGACAGTGATTTAAAGCATACAACAAATATGGTGGTAAATCTTGCTGGTAAAGAAGCTAAAGACAACCAAAACACTCGGATGAATTGTGGACAGCACAATGGCCTCACATACAAATACTAGTAAATTGTTAAACTTATCCACTTTTATTTTGTATTTTCTATAATAATATTTTGTACCATTAATAAATTTACCATATAGTTCGATTACTCTTTGTTTGCGACTCCTATATATGTATTGTTGGTTTGTTTCTATAATTATTTCCATTACAGTGCATACAGATATTATGGAAAAATTAATAACCTAATAACATAATTAAACATGTAACGTATGTGTAGTTAATGAGAAGGTTTAATGACCTTCTGACAAGTCTATACATGCACAGCAAGTTAATATACTATATATTTCTCTCTTCTTTTAATATAGTAGTGTATTCTGAATTTATTCTTTTTTTCTGTGCATGTACAGCTTTTACATAATACATGTTTAAGAAAGCCATTAAATTGATTTCTTTATAGCTGCCATTGTTCCTTTGTCATTCTTACGTGGATAATATCTGTTCTGACCAAGGAGGAATTATTACTGCAATACTACACACTGTGAAAAGATGTCAACAATAGTATCCTTCAGTGGTAGTTCAAGTGATATCTAAAGATTAAGGTCTCATCTATGTTGAAAAGAGAATCGTTAGTCACACGAGTAGCAGCATTAGTTGCTCAGGATAAATACAAAATTTCTTATGAACTAATGAATGTTGGATTTAAACAGTCTGTAATAGGGTCATGAATGAGAAGCAAGTGAGAGAATCTAATAAATGTGACAAACAGGCTTACCATAAAGCAAATACATTCATTGTGTTTGTGTTTAGTGCTCTGATAATGATTGTTTGTTTCAAACTTCACTTTGTAACCAGTCTCATTATTCCATTTAACATTGCAACTCAGTTAGTAAGAGATTTAGCATTACTTCCAATTAAGTGAGCCTATCTGATTGCTTGAAAGTTAGTTTAGTTTTACCTGAACATACCCCAGTAACATACGTACTGATAACGTAGCAGAATTACTCACCCCTTACATGAATTATAAATAATTTAGGTTTAAGTGTGCAATATATGTACTGACAATTTTGAGGGACTATTCGACCTGTAATAATTAAACATATAATAGACTTATCAATTACTTCCTGTAAATGTATAGATGGTGAGAAGAGTTATTCACTCTCTAATATATTATGTACATATAATGTAGATAGATTAGTTATCTTTTTACAGAGCAGTAATGATCACACTGTACAACAAAAATTAAAGTAGAATTAAACTCTAATTAATATAAGCCACTATTCAGTACTCACCAAGACATGCTTTGCTGTCAGGACTTCGAACATAACCTCTACCACAAATGCAGTAAAAGCTACCCTTTGTGTTAACACACCGACCATGCTGGCAGACAGAGGTAAATGATTTACACTCATCTACATCTATAAACAATGGGAGAGGAAAATTATAAAATAACTAACGAGTGAAAGATTTAATTATTCACAGAAAAAACAAAATTTGTATAATGTAAATCTTAAAACCCTAAACTAATTTTAATTCATAAACTAATAGCAAAAAATACAGATAAACAATTTAGAGCATTCAATCAACAACTTTTTATTATTTATTATTATTATTTTTTGTTATTATGAGTTCTATAATTTGTGGGTTCTTTAGGATTATTTGGTAGAAATAATGTGAAGTCCAGTCCAGCTAAAAATAATGAATTCATTTATTTCTTCATTCTCCAATCAAATTTTATACAATCTATGTTCACTGGTACACCTAACTTCAAAAACAAAAGAAGTTCTGAAAACTACCAATATTCCTGGTTAACTGAACAATAAGAAACACTCTGACTGACTAACTTACAAACTCAATCAGTGATGAACAGATTCTCTAACTCTTGCTGTCTAATTTAACTCATTCAGTTTGGCATTTTTATATTGTACTAGATTTCTACTTACTACAGAAAGCTTCAAGCTTCCACACAGATCTAAACTTTCTTGAAACTTCTAGACTTCACATCATGTAAAACTCCCTCAAGTGAATAAAATGTTAAACTATTAAAAATATAGCCCACAACAATCTTTTCTTTTATCCAGAATAAAATGAGTTAATTTTTTAATTATCCAAAACTCAACACAAGGTAATTTTACTAAATAGCTATAAAGAGATTAAAAGTTTATAAATATATTTTAACAGAGTCTAAAATATTTTTAGAAATTTACTTTTCCTTCACAATTTTATACTGCTGCTGTAACATTTCTTTCAAATGAGAAATTTTAAAAACTTGTAAAATAATGTGGAGATGAAATAAAGTGATATCCAAAAACAAACAAATAATCACTTTATTCCTACCTATGCAAGAATCTGTATCTTCATCTCTCTCATATCCTTCTTCACATTCGCAGTGAAAGGAACCAATGCTGTTTACACATTTTCCCTTTTCACAAAGTCCAGGTATAGCATCACATTCATCAACATCTAGAAGAAATTAGATAAAAATAATACTAAAGATAACAATACTTGGAACGCCCATCTTCTATACCAATGTAAAAATATTGTTGCGTCATCGAGATCAC